AGGAGTTTCCCCACTTCTCCCCTTCCGATTCTCTCCCCCGTCCCACCAGGGGGGAGTGAGTGAGCGGCTGCGTGGGGCTGAGCTGCCGGCTGGGGCTAAACCACGACACCTTTATATATTATATTTTCCAATTCCTTTGCCCTCTGTGTGGCTGCCACCAGCAGCACTGTCTGTCACATTTGCACTGGGGCTCAGATCTCACTTCCCAGGTCAGGGAAGTTCAACTGCTTACTTGAACCAGTTGCTGGAGTGTCTGACAGTCACCCAGCACATCCCAACACCCTGATTTTGCAAAGTGATGGCAGGTCCTTTGGTGGGCAATTACACAGAAGCCCAAAGATAATTCATACACTAATGCTATCTGATCATTTTTAACATATACAATATGTTAAGAGCCCTGGTTTTCCTGGGCAGGGATGAGAAGAGCTGCTTCTCCCAGTTAAGCAATAGCTGGGTACTCACGGACGAGTTGTCCTACCCCTGCTAACACTACTACTGCATCTTGCTTTGACCAGCGTTACCAGGTATCTGAAACGACTGAAAGACTATGCTCTGTGTGGTCAATATAAAAAAAGACACGACAAATTTTGGTATACCTTAAAAGGGAGCAGCAGAAAGGCCATGAACCAATTGATTCAAAAAGACTATTCCCTGCTGTGAGATGGAACAAACTCAGGCAAAAAAAAAAAAAAAAAGTGAGTACTTTGTATCAAGACTATTGCAATGAAAACAAAATAAGAATATTTCAGGTTTTCAGCTTGGTATATTGATGATGCAGTTCATCTATGATCATTCTCTGAGGAAACATACAGCATGAGCACATGGTACAGGCTTGTCTTCTCCTCTGAGACTAAATGCAAACTTCATTGCGTATCTTTAGGGTCCCTCTTTGAGAGAAAAGATTTAATAAATAAAAATGTTATTTCTTAAAGGAGGAACAGGCATGTGACTTTCTTTCAAGTGGCCACATGGCATCAACACTATTTCTCTTTAAGGCTACTCAAGTAGCAAAACACATTTTGTTATTCATAAAATTATGCCACCCTTGAAGGTGAACAGAAAATCACTGGGAAGACTTTCGATCAAAGACTAAATGTTGTTTCCCTTGTCTTCAGCTACACTGTTTTTCCTCTTAATCTGCCTTGCTGACTGTTTTCAAAATAATTAACTTTAAATAATGCCACATTTATTTCAATTCTCATGTGTTAAATGCTATAAAAAGAACCTCCTCCTTTACTTCTTTATTTTTCTTCCCCCCGCCCCCCGTGTTTACACAGGCTTTCTCACCATTTTAGTTACATGCATGTTGAGAATCATTCACAAGAGTGGTAAGATACCAGTTTCAGTCGGGTTTGAATTGTGACAAACGGCACTGTAATCTCCTACCCTGGCTGCCTACTACAAAGTGTTTGAAATGTACCAGCTAAAAACCTTTAAATCCAGATTTTTAAGAAAACATGCTGTTGTGTTCCTATTTTAAAAGTCATGCCACTATGCTGAGCGGTTTTATCGCCGGCACGTTTGGAGAATCCCAAAACTGGAAGTGAGGGGAGTCCAAGGTACACTGGCACCCAGAAATCATCATCTCTGTGAAATGGTGCCCCGATTCTAAAAGCCCTGTTTTCACACCGTTAGCGGACTCCTGCTGTAGTCCGGCTCCTTAATTCTTGAAGCTCCTATCCGCATCGAATACTCGCCATCCCAAAGGTGCTGGCGCTGGGTAAGACCCAGGATTACTTCTCCTGAGTGCCAGGAGCCCCCGTGACATCAGGAAAGGGACTGACGTTACTGCAGCCGTCCCTCTTTGCTCTCTCAGTCCCATCTCCGCCGCGCAGATACCAGGCGATGCCGCGAAACAGAAAAACCCTGTAAAAAATACGGGAAGGGGCAGAGACAAAAGAGGAACAGGGAGAGGGAATGGAAACCGGGCGACAAAAGAAGAACTGGATCTCCAGGGGGCAAAATTAGAGGAGGGCAGAAGCCAGGTGAAAAAAACGTGGGAGATGTAAGGGTGGGGTGTGGACAGTGGAAGAATACTGGGACTGCCTGGGACGGGGCAGCGCAGCACAGGTTGTTCTCCTCTCCTCTCATCAGATTTGGGACGAACACCACAAACACAAGCCTGAGCGTTCATCAGATACCTGCGAAACTCACTAGTGAAGTCTTTAGTCACCAGTCTGCCCAGAACAACAGGCTAGTTCTGCTACACCAGCTGCACGGCAGACCTAATTCATGACCTGAACTATACTTTGAACTTACAAGATGGTGTATAAATGTTACGCTTCCCCAGAAAAATTAAGGTCTAATTTGTCTCAAATTGGGGAAAAAATAGTCAACATTTTATAAAATTTCTTCCTTCATCTCTGCCTCGGTTCATCAGATTTCAAATATGAACACTGTTATCAGACACTTGTCTGATACTATGAAGGCACTGTGAAAAAGTGATGCATTTATTAAGCCCTGAAGAACTTTGATTAAGGTATATGAGAAATAGTTACATGACGAATGATTTCAAATTAAGTATGGACTTTGTATGCTTCATGTTTAACAAATATAGACTGAGGAACATAAAACCAAAAATCTAACTACATATCCACTGAAAAAAGGCAACATCCCCTGGAAAGCTGAGTATGTCATGTAATAAGATCCGCACTATAATGCATAAGAGACTGGATTTCCACAGGCCATATTAATTCTGGCATTTCCTTGCTTCTGATGTTTTTCTTTGCAACATTAACATCCTTTTAACATGATTTTATGGGACCTCATTGCACTACATGTTAAACCATGAACTGATCCTGCTCTACGAGGTGTTCTCGCACACACACTCATGGTATTAAACTCATAATGCAACACAGGTGAGAAATCCCTTCTAACACAATAAGCACAGCTGAAAAAGCAGGCAACATCAGCAGTAAATCATTGTGGCAATGAATCTGCTGAGCTCCCTCATCTACTGCATCAAATATGGCCTTGAGCATCCCTCCCAAATCGGCAGGCGTGCAACAGGGCTGCGCAGAGCCTGCAATGCTTTGGGCCTGAAGGAAGCAGCTATTGCATGGTGGAGCTGTGGAAGCTCCATGAAGGAGATAAGAATGAAGAAGGAAAAGTACTTTTTGCAGACCCAAAGCCATCTCAAAGCATGTCTACATGCTTGCTCCACCTGTGCTGATGTCAATTCTGATTGGTCTGGAGTGTGGGCAGAGCAAGCACACTTCTACTGCCTGGACGCTTCCCTACAGCAAGTTATCCAGGTGAAAGCCCACTAGCCTCCCATTCACTGTCCAGGGAAGGGACCGTGTCTGTGGAATGGTCAGGAGAGGATGGGGCATTCAGGAGAACGGTTTGATGGAAATATATGAGAAGAATACAGCTTAGGACGTCTGTGACACTGCTATGAGAATTAATAGTAAAGAAAAGTAGCTGCTCCTTCAAATATTTTTTAGATGCTGACTTTGACACTGTTTGCATATACTTTTATAACCACCTTGACAACAAAATCCTTAGCACAGAGACTGTACAATACCTAGCATAACAAAGATTTCCTTTGCTACCATGACACCCTTCATTGCTACATTAAAACAAATAATGACATTATCTTGACCTACAAAAACAGGGCAAGGGCTAGCTAAAGATACAGTGCTGGGATTTAGTAACAAAATGTAGCCATTCTGAAAATGTATATGCTTTCAAACCGATTTAAGAAAAAAAAAAAACAACCACCAAATATTATTGAGAATGAAGCAGGTTTTTGATGGGTAAATTCAAATAATCCTATAGTTATGTTCGTCTTGTGAAGACAAAATCTCAGTAAAGCTTCTGCAAAAACAAACAGAAATGCTGAAGATACCTACAGAAAGTTCTGAAAAGAATTATGAAATATCCCAAATTCTCAACTGAATTTTTCACAGTAAATCACTGCTATGCTACACTTCCATAGGTCTCATAAGGGTTTCAGCTACTTAAGACTAATAATAATAATAAACTTCCATAATATAACTATATGTAAATATTTTGTATGAAAATTTAATATGAAACGAGATGAAAACATCTATTAAAAATGTAATACTATATAGACACCATCAAGTTCTAAGTAGGTTTCTGACTTAGTTAAAAACTAAAACACTGATTCTGCTGTTGAGTGAAAGACCTTGAAGCAATAGAAAACTGATTTTTTCCCCCGATTTTTCACAGTGCAGGCACTGTACATAACTGTATTTTAACTGAATCACATCCTGAAGTAGATTTATCACCTCTCAGCAGATCTGAAAGTAGTTTTAATCACAACGGAAGAATGAGGAAAAACGTGCTGTATGAATCAACTGAATTTCAAGGAGAAATCAACAGGAATTCACTAGAGTGAGTTTAATTCACTACTGATTTTTTTTTTTTAATTAAAGACTATATGAGCTCGTCCTCAGTGAAAACAAGTTTTGAGCTCATCTCCTAAACTAGGTTTAGCTGTTCAGCAGTCTCTTCCATTTTCTTAGTAATGAAATTGTTATGCTGTCAACTAAAATTGTCAATTCTAATCAAAACTGATCGAGTTTTGAATATGCTGACTTTTTTTTTTTTTTAATTAATGTGCACATTATTTTAAAGTTTGGTGTAGGGGAGCACACTGCTGAAGTTGACCTTTGTATTTTACGTAGCACAGTAGATGAGACTTCATATTTAAAGGTATCAGATACATTTCCATGTCCTTAAGTGGTGGGAGGAAGAAGAACACTGTGGATATTGTGTGGGAGCTTCCAATGTGTAGCATAGCGCAGGGCTGAGAGGAAGGGATGGGAACAGAGGAAGCCACTGCTCTTCCACCATCGCTTCTTGCTATTTTCCACGCAAACCTTCTCTGACAGACATGTGCATGACGAAATGTGTCATTGCTACCCTCCTGTCTCCCCTACCTCTTCCCAGACTAACACAACAGTAACTCTGGTCTGCAACACGATGCAGCGTACATCTAACTTGCAACGAAAAATAATCCAGAGGGGATACAGGTATCAAATACCTGCAGTTTAGGCATCTAAATCTATCTAGGCTTGTTACCCCAGGCTCCCTTTACAGCTAACAGAAAGACACAGATGTATTCCACCCGATCTAGAGTAGTCATTTATTTCAGACAGAGAGGAATTATGCCAGGATGAATTGCGAACGATGGCTGCGGCTCTCCACTGACCGCTGAAGAGGATCGGTAGTGGGGGAACCACTGAGGAAAGGGAACGGTGCGGCCAGGGAGCGAGGGAGTGCACGCTGTCCCCGCACAGCCCGTGTGTCTCCTCACATCTTCCATGAAATCCTCTTTGGCTGCAACACTGACTACAGCAACAAGGAGAGGTGGCTCCTGCTAAAGTTTCATCCTTCAGCTTCTTCGAACCAGCCGTTGATGCTAATCATTTTAAGAAGGAGCTATCACTTATAAAGGATATACTAATCTGCGAAATGCTTCCACTTTTTGAGATGACACTCCTCATCACTCCCACAGTGTTTTAGATTTTCTGTGTACGCCTCTGCAGAGAATAGTGTGGATGAAACTTCGACAGGAACGAGCCCCCAGAGAGGCCGAGCGGCTGCAAAGCGGTGCCGCGCTTCCCCTGGACCCTATTTCACCAGCTGGAATGATGAGCAGCGACACATTAGAGCCCTTGCTGGTGTGCACAGTACATAGACAGTGAAGTAAATAGGGATTTAATCAATCCAGTTAAATGCCTTTTTCATACTCACAGGGAGATCATAATGATCATTTCTTTCAGGAACACTGCGCAGTCTTGTCACAAGCCTTTGCGCTACTTAAATCAGAAAGTTTTATCCAACGTAAACTGTGTTTCTATTGAAAAGTCTCACAGAAGGAGGCGTCATTAAAGGTGTATTTATGAGATAAATTGATAAAATCTGAGACAACTTTAACTCCTCAATTTTCTCATCCGTATGCTATCTTTGGGGTCAAAACTTTCCTTCCTTGGTACTTTCTTGCTAGTGGAAGGGTTTCCTACGTGTTTGTTTTTGCAACCTGATTTATGGGTTCACTCAGTTCAGAGCTCTAAGCTTCTTTCAACTCTCTTATACCTGCAAACATTTTTAAAACACATTTTAAATTGCCTTTGGCACAAGTCCACATTAAAAAATATCAGAGGGTGTGACAGTCAAGTCATAATTTAAGCAACTGGAACCTGTAAAGTACCATCTTCTACATTTTGAAATGCATTTATACATGCACTGTGGGAAAAACTGGCATTCTTTTTTTCTTTTTGTTTGTTTGTGTAAGATGAAAGAAGGAAATATGCCTTCCCTTAACTGGTGGGGCAGGGAGGGCAAATGCCACACCACAATAGCCCTTTTTGTCTCAGCCCGGGTTACCTAATAGCTCAGAGCTCACAGAACACTTTCCCCTGCCCTGCTGGGAGGATGGACCATCAGGCTGGCTCCCTTCCCAGAAAGAAAGAAAGAAAGAAAATGAGATAGCTCCCCATTCAGCAGTTGCAAAGGCAGGGAAGCTCCACCAGCCTGGAGCTCATTTATTGAGTCAGATTCAGGAAGAAATACTAAAGTACTAGCACTGGAAATCTCTCATTCTTTTTTTTCTGTCTCACATTCCTTTCCTCTCTCTCCCCCTCCCTTCCTCCCTCTCTCTCCCCTTGTAAAAAGCAAACCGCTAAAGACAAGACTGTGGCCTTTTTTGCCTTTTC